CCCGCACAGGTGGAGCTGGCTGCGCATAGCTGTCAACTTTTCCCTTTTCTTGCAAGGAATCCTATTCGGAATAAGGGAATTTCCTTTAAGAAAAGGGAAAAGTTGACAGCTATGAGCTGGCGCCCCTGCTGCTACCTTCTGACTCTTGCCACTGCTGGGCACCTGGTGGTTGGCTCCCAGGTCTTGCCACTGCCAGGCACTCATTGCTCCTCAATGCTTTCCACCTTCACAACCCTGGAGGCTGCTGCAGCATGCTCAAGTGGCAACTCCTCTATTTGCTCCTGGGCCACTCTTCAAGTTCACCTGTGGTAGAGGAGCACAGCAGCAGGATCGAGCAGGAGGGGGCAAGTATGTAGCAGTGGGAAGAGGGGCAGGAGGTGGGGATCACAGCCAGGGTTTTCGCCTCTAGTGGCAAACATCCTGGGCCACCCCTGCTTGTGGTGTCTTCATCAGAGGCTCTTCTCTGTGGACCCTGCGCAAGGGGGGTGTAGGGGGTGGCTACACAAGAATGAATAATTCATATATTAGAAAGTTAAAATGTTTTGCACTCACACCAACTCATTTTTATTTTATTTTATCACAACCCTAAGCATTTATCTGACTCCCAAGAATCCAAGCTATTTTGTTCTTCATTAAATTATCAACACACACACACACACACACAGTTACACCTACACATAAAAATTCATATTACACAAGGTGGGAGGGGGGGAAATGGATTGAGGTAGTAATAAACAGAGACCTACAGCAAGTGATTAAGTGACAAAGTCTTTTCTGGCTCAGAATAGTAGGGGTGATTCATCCTTGACAGACCGTTCTGCAAAAACCATGCAAAAAATGGGAATTGCTGGGGAGGGATTCTCCACCTCCAGCACCCGAGGGCCCCAAGTCTGCTGGCAGTTTTGGTGTACACCCACTGACTGTCAATGCTGGTGGTTCTGCTTTGTGTGCCACCCCTGCTTGAAAGAGTGTGGACATGATTTCAGGACTCCTAATTCCTCAACCAATTGCCCTCACTGTCTTAAGTGGACAGCGATGGCCATCTTTTTGGAAGGGCAACTTTCCTATGCTGTGGAGGGTTGTACATATTGCTGCTGCTGCTTGCCAAGGTTTCCAAGTTGCAATTAAAATTTAAAATATTTACATCTGCCTTGCTGCTCTGTCGTTCTCCTTCGCCTTCTGGTGTTCCTCTAAATATGAGGTTTTCAAGGTGCTCCTTTCGTGCAGTTTCACACTGAGCAGAGTTTCACACCGGGCTTGTCTTGCCAAAGCCAAGAATAGCTTGTGTCTGGGTTGTTTTGTGGCTGCTCGTGTAAGAGCACACAGCCTGGAAGCAAGTTGGGGGCAGCCCTCCACAGCAAGTGAGAAAGAAGTCTGTAATATTAATGAGCCCATTTTCCGGCTGAGTGGAGTACCGAAAGTTACAAAATACTGCCTTATGAATGCTGTTACCAGCGCAAAGGGCCAAGGTTAAAAAGCATGACATTTTTTTCTTTGGGAAAAGCTGCTGGGAGATGTCTTAAAATCTATCAAAATCGATCGCCCTAAACAATTTTCTTGTTGCTTGGGGCTCTTTAACAAGCCTGATTGTTGAGTGTATTAACAATTACCATCCCTGAAAAGAGCTTTGGCATACATATTGTTTGCATCACCTTGAGCCAATAGGGAACATTAAGGGCGAAAATCGAACAGACCCTATTTGTACACAAAATGAGTTCATTCTGCAGACATAGCAATTCCAAATTAAAGATAAAGGGACCCCTGACCATTAGGTCCAGTCGTGACCGCGATGGGGTTGCGACACTCATCTCGCTTTATTGGCCGAGGGAGCCGGCGTACAGTTTCCGGGTCATGTGGCCAGCATGACTAAGCCACTTCTTGCAAACCAGAGCAGTGCACGGAAACACCGTTTACCTTCCCGCCGGAGTGGGTACCTATTTATCTACTTGCACTTTGACGTGCTTTCGAACTGCTAGGTTGGCAGGAGCAGGGACCAAACAATGGAGCTCACCCCGTCACGGGGATTCGAACCGCCGACCTTCTGATCGGCAAGTCCTAGGCTCTGTGGTTTAACCCACAGCGCCACCCACGTCCCTGGGAGATGTCTTAAAATCCATCAAAATCCACCGCTCTAAACAATTTCCTTGTGCTTGGGGCTCTTTTAACAAAGCCTGATTGTTGGAGAGTGTTAGCAATATCATCCCTGAAAAGAGCGTTGGCATACATATTGTTTGGCATCACCTTGAGCCAATAGGGAACATTAAGGGCGAAAATCGATCACACCCTATTTGTACACAAAATGAGTTCATTCTGCAGCCATAGCAATTCCAAAATTGCTGCCCCTTAATTCCAAGAGGTATGGTTCAGGTGACCTGGCCAAACTTTGACTATCAACACATGAATTTGGGTTCCATCCTCCCTCGTTCCCCTTCATGGTTGCAGTTCCTATAAAAGGTAAAGGTACCCCTGCCCGTACGGGCCAGTCTTGCCAGACTCTAGGGTTGTGCGCCCATCTCACTCAAGAGGCCGGGGGCCAGCGCTGTCCGGAGACACTTCCGGGTCACGTGGCCAGTGTGACAAGCTGCATCTGGCGAGCCAGCGCAGCACACGGAAACGCCGTTTACCTTCCTGCTAGTAAGCGGTCCCTATTTATCTACTTGCACTCGGAGGTGCTTTCGAACTGCTAGGTTGGCAGGCCGCTGGGACCGAGCAACGGGAGCGGCACCCCGCCGCGGGGATTCGAACCGCCGACCTTTCGATCGGCAAGTCCTAGGCACTGAGGCTTTTACCCACAGCGCCACCCGCGCCCCGCAGTTCCTATAGTTTCGTATAAAAACCAAATCCATAAATTAGGTTTTGCACAAACTATAGCTTGCTTCCAAAGCAGGACTGGAAATCTTGTTTAAATGCTGGTTTCCAATACTGCTTTAGGGACAAACTTCATACAGTGCAAATCAGGAAGCGAAACAGAGTGTAAAGGATGAAGTATGTGTTGAGTGTTTACACATGCACATCATAGTTTGGTGATGATATCTGAATTGGGGTGTGTTGTTTCCTTTATCGTTTTTTACAATAAAAAAAATCTCAAAGTAACTTGAAAAAAATAAAATACAACTCATAAAAGCTATTCAAAGGCTGAAAAGAAAAGGGGGGGAAAGCAAAATACAGAATACATAAAATGCCCATCTAGCAGTATGTTAATAAGGATCAAGGAGGGAGGATATTAGGTTTACAGCGTGTTACAATCTAAGAGAAATGTTATGAAAATGCTCTGTCGGTGGCCAAACTGGCCAAAATGTATAAGATAGATCTGAAACTTGTTGGAGATATAAAAAGGGGAGTGGTTCATATATGCATATGTGGTGGGAATGTGAAAAAATCAGAGAGTTCTGGGACATTTTATATAATGAATTAAAAAAGATACTCAAATTCCCATTCACAAAAAGACTAGAGGCCTTCTAATTAGGGATAATGTCAACTGAAATCAAGAAAGAAGTAAGACCACTCTTTATGTACGCAACATCTGCAGCCAGAATTCTGGTCGCAATGAATTGGAAGAGTGAAATTACACCTACAAAGTCAGAATGGCAGGTAAAATGACAGAATACATCCAATTGGCAATAATGACGGGGAGAGTTAGAGGGTACTCAGTGCAGAGGGTGAATAAAGAATGGATAGTATTAAAAGAATATTTGAAAAACTGCTATGATAGCAAAAATCTCCTGGCAGACCTTGAATGATTCTTGTAATGTATAGATAATAAACTAAAGAATTTTTCTCTGAAGGAAATTAAGGAAACAAAGTACAATAACATGCTACTGTGTAAAAAAAAATAGCAAATGAGATACAGCTTTTTGAGAACCACTGGAAGTTTATTTTATCTTTATTCTTTCTTTTCTTTCTTCTTTTTTCTTCTTCTCTATTTTTTGTTATATTTTCTTTTTTCCGTGTAGTGTACGTGCATAAATTGTAACATGGTGAATTGTTGTGTAAATATGTGTTGAATGTTTAATAAAGATTTATTTTTTAAAATATTTAGAAAATAAAATTTTTTAAAAATAAAATAATAAGGGCCAAGCCCATTAATTAACTAATGACTTGGGGAAACAGAAGGGTCTTAGCCTGGTGCCTAAGAACTGCCAAAGATGGCGTCAAGCACATCTCCTTGCCTGGAATAACATTCTACAGACAGTAGCCACTACTGAAAAGGCTCATTTCCTTTGGCAGTGCAAACTTTTTTCTGTTTATTGCTTCCCACCCCCGAATGCTAATTTCCATTTAAAGTCCTGATATTCAAATACAGGTGACTCCCCATTTATGCTGGGGGTTACACTCTGACCCCTTGCACACATATGTGAAATGAGTGTTAATGGGGAGCAGCCCCAGAAGCCTAGAAGTGGGGGGAGAGGCCTGAAGAGCCTCAACAAAGTCCTACTGTGCCTCTTGCTCATGAGGAGACCCTCCCCGGAACCCGAAGGGGACGTCCTCTTTGGGGAGGGAGGGTCTCAGTGAGCCAGAGACTTGTTGAGGCTGTGCTCAGCAAAGCCCTGCTAAACCCCTCTACCTATCCGGGTTGTGTGAGCCGGAGGCGCAGCGGACATTCCTGCTAGCAGCTGCTATGTGGGAAAGCGCAGCAGCTATTGCTGCTGCTTTTCTGCGCATCAGCTGTTAGCTGGGAGGCTGAACAAAGCCCCACTGTGCCCCTGGCTCACATGGAGACCTTCCTAGGAGCCCAAAGAGGACACTCCCTTCAGGCTTCAGGGAGAGTGTCCTTGCAAGCTGGAGACACAGTAGGACTTCGTCAAGCCTTTGCAGGCCTCTCCCCCCAACCTCTGGGTTTCTGGGCCTGTTTGTATGCACAGTTGCATGTGAATTAAATGTGCATAAATTGAGGGGCAGGGAATGCCTGTATATATTTCTGAAGGCTGGGTAATGCGTATATGGCCGGTGCTGATTTTTAAAAAGTTTTATTATCTGGTTGAAATTCGTAACCTTTATATTTTTGTGCTACTTTCTCTAGGAAATAGAGGATCTTCGGAAACAGGGTGAAATCATACCAGAGTTGATGACAGAATGTGAAACAGTCTCTGAGAAATTGCAGGTATGAATGGTTATTATTATTCAGTATGTATTTTCAGTTTTAAAAGGAAAATTATACTCCACTTAAGACCTATAGCCAGAATGTTTATGTTGGGGAAACTGAAGCGTATGATTCATGCTGGATGATGATGGCGCAGGTAGAGATGTGAAGGTGTTGGAAAAACGATTTCCTCTTAACTTTTACCCAGTTTTCTCTCTTGGTCCTCTACTCCTCTGGGGTCATGTCAGGATAATGCTGCTTGCTCGCTTGGAGAGCCAAGCAGTAGGGAAGTAGCCACAGCGTTTCCCCTTCCATTCATGAATGCAAGTTACTTTAGTGCAGGTATAATCATAACACAGATGGAAAATATTAAGACACCTTAACTGCTCAGGCCAACAGTACAATAATGGCTTAGTGCAATGCTGTCTTCTCAGGACCTGTCAATGAATGAGTGCTCTAGTAGGAGGGAGAAGTGGACTCCCTGATCACAGGTCTCTAAAAGTCACCCTGAGAATGGACTCAAAGCAGCCTAAGGGAATCAGGGAATAACTGCAGAACAACCAAATCATAAATTCATGCTTCCATTTATTTAATTGCATTAGTGTGCAATTGGGTAGAATAACACCTCCATGTTTTGTGTTCCTTATCTCCATAAAATAAAAGAGCTAGAGAAATGGGCGTAGCTAAGATTTTCCCAGTAGTGATGTATGGAAGTGAGAGCTAGACCATAAAGAAGGCTGATCGCTGAAGAATTGATGCTTTTGAACTATGGTGCTGGAGGAGACTCTTGAGACTCCCATGGACTGCAAGAAGATCAGACCTCTCCATTCTTAAGGAAATCAGCCCTGAGTGCTCACCGGAAGGACAGATCCTGAAGCTCAGGCTCCAATACTTTGGCCACCTCATGAGAAGAGAAGACTCCCTGGACAAGACCCTGATGTTGGGAAAGATGGAGGGCACAAGGAGAAGGGGACGACAGAGGACGAGATGGTTGGACAGTGTTCTCGAAGCCACCAGCATGAGTTTGACCCAACTGTGGGAGGCAGTGGAAGACAGGAGGGCCTGGCGTGCTCTGGTCCATGGGGTCACGAAGAGTAGGACACGACTAAACAACTAAACAACAACAACAAGGATTTATTTGGGAGCGAGGCAGGCTCCCAAATAAATTATTATTATTATTATTATTATTATTATTATTATTATTATTATTACGGTATTTATGTTAGGTGCGGCAGAACTGAGTAATCTGTGATGCAATTGGTCAGTTAAATATTTTGATTTATTTACTTTATTTATTTAGGGGGGCAGCTGCCTGCCCCCCCCCCTGCACTCCTGGCTACACCCATGGCTGGAGACATATTTTTCAATAAAAGCAGTATGTTCAGGGAGGGGCCTGAATTACTCAAGGGATGAGAGAGCCTTCGGTGCTAAAGTCCTGGTTGCTATCCTGTGCTGCTGGCACTCCACTGACTTAGCCTTCTTCTGCCTTGGAAGCTCAAGCCTGTAGAAGGTGTACCCTGTTTTACAATTTAGGAACAGCTTCATCTGTAAATCTTTCATCTCAACCCATGCATCATGAATTTGTTGAGGAGAGGCAACATTGGACTCTATCCTCTGGGGCAAAGCATTTCAAATACAGGCTTATATTGATGATGTAAAGTCCATTGCTAGGGAACTTTATTATTATTATTATTATTATTATTATTATTATTATTATTATTATTATTATTTATTCTCACTGTCTTCCTACACATTCAGCCAGGGAGACTCCAGATATTTATTTTTCTTGTTTTGTTTTTTTAAAAAATGACATTGAGTTCCAGAACGAAATATCAGTTCCCAGGCGCTGTTTGGTCAGGTTGTATTTGTGGATGGGAGAGCCAGGACCCAAACCAACTTCAGATAATGTTTAGAACAAATTCTGAAGCGCTAGCAATGGCAGTAATATATGCAGAGCAGGGCACATAAATTCCAGCCAAGAGCTGCCCAAAGTGACCTCGTTCAAGGCAAAGCATCTCTTCCACACCCTTCTGTGTCAGATTAAAATAATAGCCTTTCCCCTGACAGAGTTTGCTTGCAGGTAGGTTTGCAATGGACACAATAAATAAGAGATGCAGTGATAGGGCAGGTATGGGGAGGGCCTTTGCTCTTTCTGTTATTGTTGAGACATTAATGCAACTTTTTTTTTTTTAAGGCTGCTGAGAAAAGGAATAAAGACCTGGAAGAGAAAGTCAGAGCTCTAAGGACAGAGGTGGAAGAGAGCAAACACAGACAAAACAACCTTAAGACTGAGTTACAGACTTTTTTAGACGTACTAGATGGAAAGATTGATGAATTGCATGACTTCCGGCAAGGACTATCTAAACTGGGAGTTGATAACTAGGGAATAGCAACATATATCTTTTTGTAAACTAACATTGGGTGGGTGTGCATTTTAATCCTAAATGTCTGTTCCACAAAAAAAATAACCAGAGTATTCTTCTTGTTTGCAATGTGATTTGTACATAGAATTTAAAGATTTAATGGTTCTCTCCCCCACTACCCATTCTTCCTTTTCTTTCTTTCTTTCCAAAAATTGTTGTTGACTTTTCTTTTTTAAGGTAGAGCTTTGTTTATCTTCCTGCTTCTGGACTTTGAGGGTTTGGGAACAGGTGGGGGAGGGTTCTTGCCTCAGGAAAATGGAACTAGACCTACCTTAAAATGAATATGCATTAGTTGTTGCAGGGAAATTTCTATCTTAAGGGCTGCTGCAACCATAGAAACAGGAAGCGAGCCTTTTCCTAATCTTGATTATCAAGCCCTGTGCAGTTTTATTTGTGTGTGTGTGTGTAACAGACCACAGTGAAGATGAGAGAAGATGCTTGCAATTTGTCCATGGGCTTGAAAAAGAAAAATGCACTTGGGAGCAGCCATTGGCAGGTAGAGAAATATTCTTTTAGTAGATGCTCAAAGTAGAGGATCAAATTGTGAAGCCTCATTTGAAGAATTCAGTGGTGGCTTTTTATTTAATAATAAAAAAAATACCCACGAGGCCTTTTCATACAGAATTTGCCATGTTCAACAATGTGCATTTGAAATCGGTGTAGAAATCGCAATGTGTTCAGGTGTAGCCCTTTGCACTCCTGGTAGAATGGACGTGGAGGTAGTTACCCAAAGTTGGTTGGCGGTTTCCAAGCCTTTGAGGGTGTTTAGAAATGCAGATGTTGTACATTAGCCATCTGAATGCCGGAGAAATGGGCACTGTTCCTAGGAACAGTGGCGTAGCGTGGGGGGTGCAGGGGGGGCCGGCCGCACCGGGCGCAACATCTGGGGTTAGGGCAAATCCACAGGTTAGGGGGCGCAAATCCACAGGTTAGGGGGCGCAAATTACTTGCCTTGCCCCGGGTGCTGACAATCCACGCTACGCCACTGCCTAGGAACCAGGGTCAGTTCACTCCCGGAGCAAAGGATGTTAAGTAGGGAGCCTCAGGCCCAGGAGTCAAATGCCTCTCCAGCTGTCCCTTGGAAGTTCTCCAACGCCACATCCCTCGCTGGTCCTGCTTTATACAAGTGTTTTTGCCTGGCTGGAATTTGCCCTTGAACTCTGGCAATGCCTTTTGCTTCTCCGGATGGAGAACAGAGCAGGCTGTGTGAGCGTGCATAGGAACTAAGCCTGTTACACAGAGGTAATATTAACGTTCTTTGCTCCATCCACTGGCATGTGGCCCTTGGGCTGGAACAGGTTTCCCATCCCTGATGTAAGCAGTTGGCCCTACAAGTTGCTGCCCCTAGCACTGGCTGGCAGCACCATTTTTACGTTCAGGATACAGGTATTTGTTTTAAAACCATTTATGTTCCACCTCTTCACCCAGAGAAACCTCAGACGTTGGTTGCAACAAAGACTTTAAACCAGGGGTCAGCAAACTTTTTCAGCAGGGGGCCAGTCCACTGTCCCTCAGATCTTGTGGGGGGCCGGATTATGTTTTGAAGAAGAAGAAAAATGAACGGATTCCTATGCCCCACAAATAACCCAGAGATGCATTTTAAATAAAAAGGCACATTCTGCTCATGTAAAAAACACACTGATTCCCAGACTGTCCACAGGCCGGATTTAGAAGGCGATTGGGCTGGATCTGGCCCCCTGGCCTTAGTTTGCCTACCTATGCTTTAAACCATCGTGAGGATTTTAAAGAGCCTGTTTGAATAAAAGTATCAGTGACATGGAAATAAGGGTGGAAGCAAGACAAAGGAGCAGGTAAATTATAAATAAACGGTTCTGAATTTCTCAGTTGTTGCCAAAAGTCTAGGCAACAAGGGGAAAATGTGGTTAATTGGTGCCGTGCTGGCTATGAGGTTGGTGCCTGATATTAGATGCAGCAGCAACCAGGCACGAATTGGAGGGGAGGGGAATGGAAGAGTTGTTGCAGACAGTGGCACTGGTTGCAACTGGGTTTTAGAATTAAGTCTCCATCCAAGAGTCCTCAATCCAAGAGTTCAGTGGGGTGTCTTCAAACTAAGCATCAAGACACATGGCCACCTAAAAAGGAACAACCTGGGACATCAACCCACCTTGAAGGTTTCTGCTCTGCCCCCAAAGACCTGCTCTTTAATTCCAAGATGAATCAAGGCTGGCGGTGGTCACATCTCGGATGAAACGAGAAAGTCATTTTCACATGCTCCAAAACACTCCCGTTAGCGCCTTCAGCTTCTTTCAGGGCTGAGCCCCTGGAATTACAAAAACCGGGTCCTGGGGCAGAGTCGTATCTCAAACTAAGCTCTGTACGAACCTTCCCAATCTTGTGCCTTCTACATGTTTGGGGCTACGTCTTCCATCACCCTGGCCATGCTAGCTGGGACGGATGGGAGCTGTCTAAAACTTCTAGAGGGCACCGGGGAAGGCTGCTGACACAAATGTCTGTCAGCTACTGAGACTGTATCACACTGGAAAACACTTTTTAGTCATGCCCGTTATGGATCTTAGTACTGTACTGGTAGTTACCCGAACTCACCTCCTTTGCCTGCCATGCAGATGTGTGGAAACTCAAAGGTGCCCTGCCTAACAGTGAGCTACCTCCTCTTCCATTTTTCTGTCCTGTGTGTTAAGCGCCTGCGGCTCCTAACTGCTTTTAAAACTGCAGGAGGGAGTTCAACTCATCATTCACAGCGCTCTCTCCTTTTGTGTCTGCCATTGCATGGGTGTGTGATTCAATTTTCTCTGCTCTTAATATAAAAAGCCACCTTCTTATTGAAAAAGCGTTGGACATAAAGCTCTCATTTTGGACTGTGTGACTCTCCCATTTCCTCGTAAGGTGCAAAGTATGAAGAGGGCAGTTTGCAACAGCTTCTTAGCTAATGAAACCTGATCCACTGCCAAAACAGTTAGCTATTCTTTCTGCTGATATATATGCATATCTATATTGCAGTGTGCCATGGGGTTTTATGGTGGTGATGGAGTCCGTGATTGCTTGAGCTTTTGCCTAATGTCTTGGTGGATAGTGGGGAGCGGAGAGAGGAGTCTGGCTGCCATTGGGTGAGCTTCTTAGATTCTAGAGAGGCAGGGTTAGCAGATGGGCCTAGGAAAGGAGGTTCAGAGTAGTGAGTGGTCCATAGGGAGGCACGAGAAGAGAGGCGCAAGGCACAAGGATCTGAATGCACAAGCAGAGTTAACAAAACAGATCTGAAATAGCAAGCCAAGCATTTGGCTGCACCCAAAGCACACAGCTCTCCTTAATTTTTGCTTCCTTTGGCTCCTGATAGCAAAGCCATCTGCTCACCAGTAAACCTTTCCCACTGAACTCCTTGGAACCAAATTTCCTGCCCCCTCGCCCACCCCATGCCTCTAATCTGATTTCTTGCTGCTTTGAGCCTCCACCTAACCTACTTTTTCCTTCTTCCACAATTCACAGGCTCCTGATCCAAGATCACAAGTATTATCTGTGTAGGTGCCTGTGAAGGGCTGGGTTCAGAGCTTCTCTTTCAGGTCAGAACCAGGTGACTTAGGTGTGAGCTTAGGCTGAGCTGAAGCCATGATGAGGAGCATGTGGGCAGCACAGGCCAAGGCCAACAGGGTGACAGGACTGGCCTTCTGTGCTATGTCCTCTTCTTTGGCAATTAAAACACGGAGGCAGTCCTTTGCCAGGAGCAAAGTCTTTGACATTTTAGAACTGAAAACAGGCTTCTACAAAACCTACAGCTGCCATAAATAACACCAAGGCTGCCTTGTATTTTATTTTATTTTTTTACAAAAATCATTTAAAGGCCTGTGTTTTTACACCCCAGCCCCTTCTTTAGTTTACCATCTGCTGCATTGGTTTTGTGTAGTGGTGAGTTGGCCAGGAGAGATGGCACGTTTGTTGTGCTATTAAGTTGGCTACCTCTGTCTTCCCAGAAAGTGGGGCCGTCCTAGCAGTAGTCAGAAGATTTCAAGATGTTGATCATAGATATTTTCTCCTCTTTTGAAGTGACCACAAACCAGATCATTTGGGATCAAGTGGGGCTTAGAACCATTGCTCATTGGTAGAGGGCATGCAATGATGCCAGCTTCAGTCCCCAGCATTTGCACTTAAAAAGGGTCAAGCAGCAGGTTATGGTAACAACCACTCTCCCCTGGGAAACCTGGAGAATTGTCAGTTGTATTCAGTCAGCCACTATTGGCTAAATGAACAAATATTCTGATATAATAAGGCTGCATCTTCCTGTACCCCGAATCTGGCTCCTAAAGCAATTTGGGGGAGCCTCAGGTGCTGCTGCCATATTCAATGCTTGCTCCCAATTTAAAAAATGGCAAAAAGGGTCCATACTAGCATTGTGTTTCCCTGAGGACTTTGCATGGCATGCCTGGAGATGTGTAAGAAATTTGATTCAGTTCATATTTGAATGTGAATGAAGCTACATAATTTGCACTATCCAAATACATAAATTGAAACACAGTCATCTTTTGGAATGTACGCGTTTTCGAATTTTGCAATGCTGTTCTACAGCCAAGTAATGGGTACAAAGAACGAATATACCAGGGTAAAGTGAAAATAATGATGTATACAAAAAAATTACTGTACAATATTTGGAGAAATTGCTTTGCAAAAATGTGCATTTTATGGGAAACTGCATACAAGTATACAGTGGTACCTCGCAAGACGAATGCCTTGCAAGACGGAAAACTCACAAGACGAAAGGTTTTTTTGTTTTTTGAGCTGCTTCGCAAGACGATTTTCCCTATGGGCTTGCTTCGCAAGACGGAAACATCTTGCAAGTTTGTTTCCTTTTTCTTAACACCGTTAATACAGTTGCGACTTGACTTCGAGGAGCAACTCATAGCACGCGGTGTGGTAGCCTTTTTTGAGGTTTTTGAAGACTTTGGTGATTTTTGAAGCTTTTCCAAAACTTTTCCGACACCGTGCTTCGCAAGACGAAAAAAAAACGCAAGATGACAAAACTCGCGGAACGAATTAATTTCGTCTTGCGAGGCACCACTGTAAGTACATATTAAGAGAGATTTGCACTAAAATGCTGGTGAATTTTCATAAGCAAGTGCATTTCTCAAACTGATGTGGAGAACTGGACTTAAGACCGGATAAACAAGAAATTCAGAGTTACCAAAATTCAGAGGAACCTAGTCATGCCTCAGCAGGTTTATTTGCATAACTGAATGGATTTCTAACCAGACTTTCAGGGTGCATTGCCCTCACAAAATAGTTTGCCGAATAAATTTAAAGTGCGTAAAGTGAGCATAATAACCAATGGTCAACAAATACAATACAATTGGCATTGCAATGTCATGAATTTAAAACCAACAACAAACTTTCCCCAAGCACAGCGTAAACAAAGGCAGGCTGGATCAAAATGCCCAAGAGCTGCTTTCATGCTTAGCATTACTCCATGTTTTGCAAGGTACCAGTTAGTTCCATTTGGACCACCACCAGTGTGGCTAAGCAAGGGCCCATTTGGTTCAGCAACATGGAGCCCAGATCAAAGGCAGTAGAGAAGAAGACGTCAAAGCATCCCCACAGTTGGAACTGGTGTGGACCATCCAAGCCTGTGAGACATCTGGAGCCTGAATGCTGAAGGCACC